ATTCTTAAGTTGGACGTTTTTCGTTTTGAATTGCATTAGTTCCTAGAAAACGACGATTGCAATGTAAGAAAATATTTTTTACGCCTGTATCGCGTCGAATCAATTTTTTCTTGAAAACGGTTCCCGTATACTCGAACACTCGATATTCCTCTAAGAATAAATCGTATTTTACATTTGAATTTTTTTTTTTCAAGTATTATCATAGTGCGTAAGCACACTGTTGTTGCAAACAGATTAGTTGCATGCACAAACGTTAATAATGATAGTTATCCGAAGTTAACCACTGGCGTGTGCACATCTTGCCCATTGTCTACTAGCACTTCGCGACGGTATTGTTTATAAATGGTATTGTTTACGAACATTTTATATATAACATGAGTTTTATGGTTTTTTATACGTGAAATACATACGTTCGACGTTATTGACAATTACATTTTATTCTTTTTTTGTACCAATCATTCGTTGTAGCGTCTCTGGTACTAGGGTAACAGAAGATAACAAGAAGTTGCCCGTCGCGAAAGAAAGAGCAAGAGCTATACTCTGCACGTAGCATGTGCTCCTGGTATCAGTGGATAGCTCATGCCCTCTTGTGAATCAATTTTGTCTTCTCTTCGGTTCCATTGTAAATGATCGATGTTTATTCATAGAGTAAAATGTATTAAATTCTCGCGTTTATAAATAATAATATATTATAAATTTAATATATGCCTACAATTAATTAGAAACACGTTAAATTTAATTTATCGACCCTATATTATTCAATATAATTGACACCGACGCAAATTTCTTTCTTTTTCTCTTACCTTTTTCTTTTTCTTTTTTTAATGATTATTAATGATGATTTTCCTATCGAAAAAAGAAAGAGAACCGTAATCTTTATTCTGTTATTTTATTAACGATAATAGGATAAGCTTTCGCGGGTAATGTACGCGAACGAAATTGGATTAAATTTTTTATGTATCGACACGCGTAATACATATACATATGTATATATATATATATATATAATTTACTTCAATTACTCGGTGGAACGCAACAGCTGATGATTTGCGTACATGCGCAGTGCATGGACTATTTCTGAATTTTTGATAAAATAGTGAAAGTACGCGCGCGTACGTTGTGGGTTAGTAGGCGATGTCCGGCTAATAATTGGATAACAATGCCCGTCGGGTTCGACGATGAAATGAATGATTATGTTGTGTTGCAGAAAAAACGTAGGAAAGATGTTAAACAAGAAAATACAAGCAACGGTCTCCCGTTCGACGACGACGGTGATGACGATGAAAAAATTCGCGACATGGCAAGGCGATTTGAAGCGAAATATGTATGTAAAACGTTATTTACGTTGATTCGCAATCATTCGGATGAAATGATTGTGTATCCGTGAATCAAATTCATTTTTTGCTGAAACGTGTTTTTGGTACAGGGAACTTCAACTACAGGAAGGAAGAAGAAAAAGTACGATGATTATGTGGATCTGGGTGCAGGATACGATGAGAATGATTCTTTCATCGATAATACTGATGCTGTAAGCAACATGCGATGTTCCTATGGAAGATACTTGCTGTGCTCGTTGTTTTAATATTAAATATTATTGTGTTACTATTGCAGTACGATGAAATTGTACCGGAAGAGATGACTACAGCTCATGGAGGTTTTTATATCAACTGCGGACCACTTGAATTTAAGTCAGCGGATCACCACACCTTGGTTCACAACAATAACAACAACAACAATAATAACAATAGTAATGATGAAGAAAGTAGTGAAAGCAGCGAAGAAGATACAGAAGATGTGGATAGTCCAAAGAGATCGGACAAACGAAATCATAGTTCATCGGATGAAGAAGAAGCTGAGGATATTACTGGTGATCAACCAAGAAAGGTAATCGACGTTATAATGCTACATTGTTTTTCTTTCTAAATTGGTATGTAAAATTGACAAATGTTATGATTTTTACAGAAACAAAAGGTAGATGAAAATGGTGAAAAGAAGTCTGCCCAGGAAAATATTGTCAAAAAGAAAAAGAAACAGCAAAATTTACCAGAACAACAAAATTCTCAGCAAGATGGGGATACTTTAAATAAACGAAAAGAAAAAGGGGAGACTACGGATGCTGAAGGTAATACAATACAGTCCTTTATGTCAATAAAAAAATTTTATCATAGTTATATTACATGTTTATACATAATTTTTTGTATGCTAGGTTCAGAAGATCAAGAAGAAAAGAAAAAGTCTGACAACAAAGTGACTGATTTACAAAAAAGTAAAAATAATACATCGGATAAAAAATTTGATATAAAAAAATTTGAAAAGAAGGCAGCTAATACAAATGGCTTTGATGGGAAGAAGTCGGATCTAACAAAGTTAAGCGGCAAAGATAGTAATATTGATGACGCGATAGAGAGTGTAGTTAATGCTGCGAGGGTTGAGGACGAATCGAGTGGTGATACTACCGATTCTGGCAAATCCCGATGTATAGGTACGGAATCGGAGTGCGACGATATCGATAAAGAAACACCTTTACCTGACTCCCTTCCAGAGAATGTTGTAGAAATAGTAAATAAATTAAAGGCACAAGCTGAAAATAGCAAAGAAAGAAAGACTAAATTTTTCAATTCGACAGTAACTACGTTATTGTTAAGGTAAGGGTTTATTAGATTTCCATTAATCCTTTCATACGTACAAACAGAATAATATCATTTTTATTTTAGTTTAGAGAAAAGGTTAAGAGCTCTTTCTTCCCCGAGTCTAAGGTTAGAAACATATGGACACCTCGCGCGATTCTTACCGTGTAGTAAAATGGCACTACAAAATAGAGCAAAGAAATTGTATGTAGAAGATGTTGAATGCAGTGTCGGTGAACTTGTACGAAGGTAATGTATCTTTTCAAATGTATCTTAGCAACTGTTTGTCATAATTTTATATCTATCGTCACTTCTATTAATTCAGAATGATCAGTAATATATCTTTTCGTTACAGGTTAAAAGACGTTATTAATAAAATAATGCCATCCGTGGTGTGCAAATATCTTGATGAGTGTCAAAAGGTTGCTGAAGGAAAGTAAGTATTTTTCGAAATAATAACGTTGCAGGGTTTACATATTTAATTGTTAGTGAAAGAACTTCTAAGGAAAGCTTTATACATTAAAAGAACACTCTTGTAGCTTTAAAACGTAAATTAATTGAGTATGCAGCATCGAATGGGAACTTACTATAATTTTCTATTTCTTAGTCCTCATTTATACTGGGATATATACCGGTACTGTTGGTAAGGTGCCCCTCGTAAGAGGAAACCCCTTTTTATTCTTACCTTTCCAGTTGTTCATTATCTTCCTCTACTATCTTATCTACTTTTCCCTTACTCTATTCATGCTTACTTATCGCTGCTATCTCGGTGTTTCATATATTTAAAAATGATTTTATTCGCTGTATACATAAAAGGTAACATAACATTTCATTTCCATTTATTTGCCATGATTCTTAGAGAGATAGCGGAGGAAATACGGGGCTTTTTATCATCAGTATCAGTGTTTAGTTTGTCACGATCGCCATCCTACTCGTGAAACAATGAACCATTATATTTTAATAGAATTCAGATCAGCCGTCACATACATACACGCATACATATATCTATTCAGGATTCATATTAGATTATTATTGTTACGTAGGAATTTGTAAAATCATCAAATATGATAAATAGTCGTTACCTTTTGTCACCGTCATACCATACATGTATTCTAGAATTCCTTTGTATTCCACGATTTGTAATTAGTCCTCGTTTCAGGGAAATGGACGGATCACCCGCCGACGCTGAGAGTTCCGACGAAGAAGACAATTGCGAGAACTTAGATAAAGCTAAAATTCCGAAAAAGTCTTTCCCCTGGACGGAGGAAGCAAAGTAAGCTTTCGAAAACTGATTTCGCCTAGCAAATAGAAACTGCTTGGAATCGATGCGTCAATTATACCATTTTTCGTTTTCAGGAAACTTGTTTATGAAATCGCGAATGCACAAAGGCAAATTTATAATGTTTTAAGACCGAGGAAATTAAGCATGTATAGTTTTGTTGGATCATTCTTGTTGCGAACTGTATTACCCTTATGGCCGAGAGGATACATGACGCCAGCGACTTTGTTAAAGTTTGTTGACGATTCTGAGCCTGTGTAAGTCCCTATCTCTTATGATTTTACTTTCTTCTTAGTTATTCCACTAATTCGTAACCCTTGTATAATTTGATTATAGCACAAAGAAGAAACAGAAGAAACTGAAAGATGTTGGCAACGGCAGCACTACAACTGCGGCTGGAAATGCAGTGTATAATTCAGTTGGAAAAGTGGAAGCGAATAGTATCCTTTCTCAAGAGAGGGAAAAATTATCAGTGAGTGTGGCGAAAGGTCAAATTCCCGGGGACGGTTCCGCCAACTATGTGAAACAAGGGACTGTTAAATTAAACGATAATATCGAGAAGAAACAGCAGAGTGTGAAACACAAGGAGAAGAGTAAAGAGATAATTAATTCGGGGCAGCAACACGAAGGTTTGACAGTTGCTACCAATAATTCCACTGTGGGTAAAATCTCTGTCGTGCCTACAGCTCAATTGATGGCTTTAAAGCCGGTTAAATGTCATGTAGAGAAGATTAATTTGATGGAGTTAGGTAATAGTTCACTTTCTATCACACCTGTTAGCGAGTTCCATAAGTCATCCACAAAAGTGAATGAGAATAAGAAAGATGTAGTTTCTATTACGGCTTATCCTGAAACGTCGAACGTTCTTCCAAATACAAATGAAGTGCCTCAGAGTGGACATCATTCCGTACACAGACAAGATGCTTCATACTCGTGTTCACAGCCTCAGCATTCTAATTATTCAACGTCGAATCAAACATCCCCCCATTCGAAGTCTGTATCTCTGAAGCACAGGTTGCTGCATGAGAATACCGAAACCAACAAGAACGATAAGAAACCGGACGAGAAAGACGCCGATGCGATTAATAAGACTGAAAAGAGGGATAAGAAGCGGGAACGGGGCGTGGAGGTTAAGCACAAATCAAATGACGTTAAGAGACGAAAGAAGGATGCGAAGGTAGTGGAAAAGCAAATAGGGCATATTAGTGCAGACGTAGTGCCTATGCAACAGCAGCAACCGTCTCTCTCGAAGGAGGAGCAGGAGCAAAGACAAAACGAGGAGACGATCGCTGCTACCAATTACTTGAGTCAGATGATCATTAACGATGATGCGACCCCCAGAGGTGTGACGGACAAACGGAAAGACGGTACTCTTCTTTTAGACGAGCCTGTAAGTAACACTGTACAGCCAACGGAACAAGAGAAAGACGTTCAAATGGTTATGAGATCTTTAAAAGAGCTCCAAGAGTTGCAAGAAATGAAATACTCGCCGAGCAATTCTCCGGTCGGCACCAACATCCAGAAACCTATCAAGTCGAATGCGCAATGTACTTCTTACCAGGACGACTACTCACGACTGTATCTTAAAAAGGACGTGAAAATGAAGTCTAAAGAAGATTCACAATGGTAGTAGTAATATCAACAGATACCATGCACCGTAGACGCAAATTACATTTGAACAGAACTAAGGAAAGCCAGTGGTCAGATAATAATTTTCATAGAGATCTATAAAAGGCGGACGTTTCAGTAAATCTACATTATTTTTTATGGAGACAAATGAGCGTGGAACTGATCAGAACTTCTTCCATTACTACAATGCCGCGTCACTGTTGATGACCAAGAGGGATAAAGAAAGAAAGAAAGAAAGAAAGAAAGAGAGAAAAAAAAGAAGTAAAATGAAATATAAAATAGAAACCGCAAAGCAGCTGGTAAATAGTGTGCCGCGATCATATTGTATCGCATACGATTTTTAAGTATTTTAACGAACCCGCCAAATTCTGTAAATATATATTGAATTCTTTCGTAGTTATTTGAAGAGAAACGATAAAAGAAAAAAATGAATGAAAAATGCGCGTGTACAGAGTAAGTATAAATTATGGAAGTATGTTAATCGTATAGGCACTTGTAAATAAGTTATCGTCCGTTCATCGCCGTGAATGGAGTTGGTCTCTGTTGAAGATCTGAGTTTCTTTATTTTCAAAAATCCGAGATAGCGAGTCCGTTGCCCGACAACCATAGAAAATGCGAGTCTACCAGCGACTGGAACAGAGTTTGTTTTCGGTACACCGCGGGTTCGCGCCAGCTCGTTGCTCGTATCGTTTCTTTCACTGTGAAACTTACTTGTAAAGCGCTTCTTTTTTATTTTCACGTACGTACTGCCACGGTATGGGAGGGGTGCGCTAAACCTTTGTTACGTAGTATACGTATAGTTTCCGTAGATTCCAATAACACGTAGCCACCCTGAGTCATCGAGCGAGAGAGAGAGAGAGAGAGAGAGAGAGAAAGAGAGAAAAAGAGAGAAAAAAATAAATAAAAAAAAACCAGTTATACTCCTTCGACGCACGAACCACTGTTTACATTTTCACGATCGAAACTGCGAGATGAAAGGGAAAACCGCCGCGCGATTCGTTTCTTTCTGTTTTCGTTACTTCGCCGCCGGAATTGCCCGTTTACGATCGGACAGAAGCACGCGAGTAACGAGAACGACGCTTTTATCGTCCGGCTCGAACGGGAATCAGTTTACAGTAGAATCGACGAAATGCTGTGCATGTTCGCGTTATTTATAAACGCAGGAAGAACGAATAAAGTGGAACCAACCCAATCTCTATCGCGTATCCTCAGCGTAGAAGTATTCCGGGAGCTACGAGAGACTCTGAAAAGAAAGGAAAAAGGAAAGAAAAAGAAAAAGATAATGGGAAGAAGTTACCGTTACCGTTGAATTGTATTTACAAGCTACAGAACTGTATAGTTTGGTACGGCTGCCTGATCAGACGAGAACAATTCGAGTAATCAACCGTGTGCAAGAGAGAATGACGGAGAGAGAGAGCGAGAGAGAGATACGAGTGAGAGGGCAGAGAGAATGCGCGTGAAAGTACTATTCTAGAAAGAGCTACGATATTTTTGAAACAGAAAGACTACGATTAGTGATGTATTATAATGCCGCATACCTTCTTTTCCCACCCCCTCCCGACCCAACCCCTTTACG